TCTCATATCTAATTGGTTCCCCTTTCTAATTTTTGTATGTTAGGAGTTTCGGAATATTTTGGTTTTTTTAAAGAATAAACTTATGGACTTAAATGCTAAATCTAGTAAAGATTGGGGACCACATGACACTTCAGTTTCTGTAAGATTGTTTTATTACTTACAACTTTAGTTACTTCACGCATTTGATTTATGAATAATTCCAATCCAGAGTGGGCCCTAACACTTGTCGTCTGTCTGCACCTTATAATGAAGGTCAGATTTGGGGACCCGACCTCGGGTGTTTTTAGTTAAGGGCTTAAGAAAACTGGTTTAAGTACCATTTTAGTCCCTCAACTTATCACTTTGGTACCAAAATTGTCCCTCAGCTTTAAAAAGTACCAAAAGTATCCTCAAACTTTCATTTTTGGTACCAAAATGGTCCTTCCGTCAGTTAAACGCCAGGTGGCTCGTTAAAATGCCACAAAATCATTGGCTTTTTCATTTTTAATGATGTGTAAATCCAACTATGAAAATTTTGTTACCATGACATTTTTTTTTTTTACACGTGGTATATTTTTTTACACATCATATTATCACATTTTTAACTTTCCCTTTTAATGGGGCCCACATGACTTTTTTTAACTTTTCTTATTCTTTCTCTATCTCCTCTCTTCCCCTCTTCTTCTTCCTCTCCAGATCTGGGTTCTCCGGCTTCTGATCGTCTTTTCCGGCATCCCCTTTTTTTGTGCTTGAAAGACTTGGGCTTCCGAGTTTTGCTGCTTGAGCCGCCGGGTTCTCCGGCTGCTCAAGCCCGATGGAGCCGGTCTGTTCCCTGCTCCGCTGACCCCATGAGGTCTCTCGACGACTAGGCCCTTCGGGTGCCTTTTTTGGGTTTTTGTTTTCTGTTTGTTTTCTTTGTTTCCTGTTTCTGTGTGTTGCCCGCTTGCTTGCAGGTCTCGCGGCTCCTTGCTCCCTCACGCAAATCTACCGAGCTACACGCTGGAATTCCCAGATCTGGCGATCGTCGCCCAAATCTGGTCTTCGCCTGTTCATCTTGGTTCTTCGCGAAACCCAGACGGGTTCCGCGAGGAACCCAACCCAGTGTTGGGTGGCGGAACCTAACCTGGTGCTAGGTTTCTTGAGGAACCCAGTTCCTTGAGGAACCCAATTCCTTGAGGAACTTAGTTTTGGGTTCCTAGGTTTCGTGAGGAACCCAGATCTGGGTTTCGTGAAGAACCTAGTTCTGGGTTCTTGGGTTCCTCGAAGAACGTAGGTTGTAGGTTTTGCTCTGTTTTTCTTGCTCTGTTTCTTTGGTTTCGAATCGAGCCTGAAAAGGGAAATGACAGAGAAACGAAGACGAAGAACACTGCCATTGTTGGGGAACTCAACTAAAACTGGAAAAAGAAAACAATTTTTTTTTTTTTTTCATGTGGGCCCCACAAAAAGTGAATCTGAAAAGTGGGGAAGCAATCTGACGTGTAAAAATGCCACGGTGTCAAAAATGTCCTTAATGGATTTACACGTCATTAAAAATGAAAAAAGCCGGTGATTTTGTGGCATTTTAACGAGCCACCTGGCGTTTAATTGATGGAAGGACCATTTTGGTACCAAAAATGAAAGTCCGAGGATAATTTTGGTACTTTTTAAAGCTGAGGGACAATTTTGGTACCAAAGTGATAAGTTGAGGGACTAAAATGGTACTTAAACCAAAAGTTTTTGAGAAAGTGATTGATTAAAATATTTTATATAAAGTTATTAAATTTTATAATAAAATTTTGTTAAAATTTTATTTGGTAGGGAATTGATATAAAAAAATATAGGGAAAGTTGTTAGTAGGTTCCATATAATGAAAGTTTTGGAAAATTTTTTCAAGAGGTGAAAAAAAAAGTTTAAGGGTTGGTAATCTTGATAAAAAAAATAAAAACTAAAAATATTATTTTTATCCTTTATTTATTATAATTTTGAGATATATAAATACTGAAATACACTTACTACAACAAAAAAATAATCCAAACACACTTATATACCTTTGGGATTCTCTCATTCGTAAAATTCA